GGTTTAGATCTGCTTGAGTGTTTGTTGTAGAAAAATATTGTTTTAAACTTTTTGATCATGTTGTTATTTTGCTCTCCTGGTTGGTTACAGATGCTGGTTTGTTATTTAATAGTTTTATATTTATATCTAAAATTAAATAAAATAAAAAATAAAAATAAAACTTAAATAAATGTGCGCTGTGGTCAGACTGTGTGAATGTCCAAATATCAGGAATATGGTATATTGGACATTTTATTGTTGCATTTCTGTTTTGTTGATTAAATAGAAGTTTCTATTGTTTATGTTGTTGTTTGTATTGCACATGGTTTATTTGTTTTAGCTTTGAAGAGCCCAGGCAGCATCAGGTTTCTCTATGTCCACCACCTAAGTTTTAGCTGGTTTTGATCTGGTCCTGATGTAAAATAAACAATAAAACTGAATTAAATTAGCATCAAATGTATATTTATAAATTACTCACTTTCCTTTTTGACATGAACGTCATGTACAAGTCAGCCTGGATCAAAAAGACAGAGTAGTGGGACTAACCAGCTGACTGATTCTGTTTTCATATGCTGACCTGCATGTACCTACTCAGCTGGTTTGATTTTATTTCTGGGCAAAAGTTTAGAAAGGGTTAATTATTTTTTGAAATTTGTACTTTGCAACGCTTCATCATCCCTACTTTATTAATTGATAATCAGCATGAGACATTGTCGGAAGGTCTGAGCTGTTTCAGAATAGAGTAATCAGCTTCGGCTTCTAGAGAAATAAAATCTACATGAAACAGTTTTTGCATCTGTATGAAAATATGACAAGAAAAACATAACAGATTATAAAACATGACAAAAGCACAAAACTCTTGTTGATTATTTTACCATATTTGTATGCACGTGTGTGTTTGCATGGCGCTGTGTGTGTGTGGTGTGTGTGTGCACATTGATATTCTTGAGGCATTGGGGACAATCTGACTTCGAGCACCGTGTCTTATGACATTATTTAAGCTCAGCAACTGGATGCACAGTTCAGTTGTGTGTGTGCATGTGCATGTGTGTGTGTGTTGTCGTGTGTATAAGTGAAGCTAATGCAGATGTCTGTTATGTAACAACAGTGATGTCACTTAGCTGAGCTCCTTGAACTGCTTTCATGATGAAGTCTGTTATTTAAATCCTTGATGGTGACGCTTTCTGACCTTCACCCCCCCTCCACACACACACACACACACACACACACACACACACACACACACACATGTGTACATACCTTCAGTGAAAAAGGATAAACCTGAGCATCATGTGGACTGTAAAGTATTTTTGCTGAAAGTTTGTGCAGCCTTGTTAATCTTCATGATTTTCCCGTATAAACTGTTGGTTGTTACAATCAATTATTTCAGTTAAATATACTGTATCATATAAGAGATACACGGTGATATTTGAGAAGGGAAATTAAGTTTATAGGATTTATGGAGAGTGTGCAATAATTGTTTACACAACATTAGACAGGTGCAGAAATTTGGGCGCTACTAATAACTCAGTATTTAGTAGATGTCTGAGTGAAAATGTTTGTGTGTCCTGACTGGTGGATTTCTGAAGGAGGAGTGACGTCTCATTAACATTTATGTCCCTGTGTTTCTGCCTGCAGAACTCGAAACCTCTCTGGTGGTTCTCAGAGACCTCGACACACCAAAAAGATCCACTTCATCAAAAACATTAAACAGTACGACACCAGAGGCAGCAGGTGGGACAAAAATCTTTTTTTTTTGATTCAGTCTGTACCAAATAAAGGGCCTAAGTCACACCCATCTACTTCTGGACCATGGGTCCCCAAAAGATCAGAAATATGAATGCCAGTCAGTGCGGAGAAACACGTTATTTTCTAATTCTGCTTGTTTTTTGCCTTGGATTTCACATATGATGTCCGTGAATTTTAAAGACACATTTTGATACCAATAACGCGCTTATTTTCGAACTAAGGGAAATGTTATTTTAGGTTTTGTGTGAAAATAAGTCCAGGACTACAAATGTGCTTCATGAATGTGACATCACCGAACCAAACACGGAGAAAACTGAGGGAAAAGGGCTGTAAGTTCAGCAAACTTCAAATCCTTCCTTCAGGAGGAAAGAATCACCAGAAATCTGGCCATGTGGTGAGTAGCAGCTATGCTAGTGGAGAGAAGATTCTGTGGTGTCGTCATATATGCGACGCGCCGATTTCTGGTTTGTAGTCATGCTAATTGCGAATTTTTACAAGCTGATAAATCTCAAAGTACGTAACAGGCGTGGTCGAAACGCCCATCATTAGTTTTCATTGGCAGCCAAACATGTGTGTGATCCAGGGCGTAAGGCCAAGCGGATTAGAAAAAGCTCTTTTAGCTCCATTGACTTGCATTCATTTTTCTGTTCTTCCGAGGACCCATGAGCCGATTGGAAAGGGAGGAGACTTAGGCTCCCTATACACATACATCTTTGCAGAAAGTAGTTACTCAGCTCAGTCACAAATTTCCTTCCTTATGTTGATTTTTAATGTGATTTAAATAGAAAATTGTGTTTGTGTGTGTGTGTTTTCATTTGTCAGTGAGCAAGGGTACAGATAAAAGGTTAAATATAGCTCACATTGTTCCATTGCTGCAGCCAAGTGTCCTCCCAGGTGTAGCAGGTTTGTAGCAGCGTGTTGATCCTTTCAGTTCAACAGCAAGGCCAGTGTGGCTGACCTTGTCTCGACCTGGGGGGACATGCCCAAGGTCAACAATGCAAGATATTTCACCCAGATTTACACTTGGTCTTGTTGTTTTTGAAATACTGGAGTAGAAAATGGCTCTGTGTGTGTGTGTGTGTGTGTGTGTGGGGGGGGGGGGGGGGGGGGGGGGGGGGGGGGGGGGTTAGGTAACCCTGCTGATTCTTAGCAGTAAGATACTGCCTGAATAAAAACACTACAAAGCTCCCAGAACATGTGGCTCATATTTAGATGTATTGAGGTTCCTGCTTGTATTCCTGGTCCCATAAGAAGTACCAGGGGTCAAACCTGATCTGAGAGTCTGTAACAGTCTGCCGCTCTGCTGTTTTTACTCCGAAGCAGGACAATAACCAAGCGTTTGGCTCTACTCGCAGAGCTTGGACGGTCTCATCCTTTCCTGCTCCTCAGTTTTTGTTCCTGTCCTTCTTACAGAGAGCACTAAGTCAGACTTCTGATTTAATAAATATTGGTTGTTAATTTTGTCCCATTCTACTTATTAGACCCATATTGTTGCTGATGTATCGTGCATCCTTATTTCATGGCAAAACACCTCCATAGTGCCAACAGTAATATTTTACCATATATGAGTCTACTATTGCTCTGAACGGTGTAAAATAGCATGCTATAGAACATTTAGTCCTGGAAACACAGAACAACTCATGATTCTGTAAATAAGAGCATGTAAACATCAGTAAAATACCTTGGCTTCGTCTCAAAGCAGAACCCGTTTGTTCCACTCGTTACAGGTCTGGACATGTAGAGCTGAGCACATCTGATGTTCTGCATCAGCCCTTTTTTTGTCTCTCCACTTTTGATAGAGAACTCCTTAAATGTGGTTTTCTTGTGTCCAAAGGGAAACAGTTTGCTGATAACCGTGTTGTTACATCTGTTTCAGTCCATTTTTGAGAGGATTCATTTTTAAGGAGATTTGATAAATTTGATGAATATTACTTTCATATTGCCAATGTCATTGTTAATCTAATACACAACATATTAGTCTGGTTCCCTTTAATCTCCACTTTATTTGCTAATATTGTTTAATCTGGGTTATATAACCGGTTTTGCTGCCAGTGCTGTGATTATCTTTAGAGCTGGTCGTTGCTGTGGTTGTTTTAGACGATGACCTCTCCTTTCGTCTGTCTAATCATTCTGTGATTCTGTGAACTGTGGATGGGGTGGGTAACATGATGATATCGTCTCATTCTGTCTCCTAGAGGAAGTGGGACCAGATCCATTCCCACCTGAATTGGTTGATCTGATTATTTTCCACCGCAAAGCCATCATATATCACGTTTCTATGTTGTGAACCGCTATGTTCAAACACACACCTGTCTTTGTGTTTGAAAAGAATGCAAACTCAAACATTTAACAGAGACTTTGCCCTCTGTTGCTTTGCTGGTACAACGGTGACAATCCCCCTGCTGAGGGACTATTAAAGGTTTACTTTATTCAGATAAACCCCAGTGCACCACTCTGTTTGCCCTGGTTCTGTCCCCAAAGACTAGAAAGAGTATTCATAGTGTGTAAACACAGACACACACTCATCTGAGTAGATTAAACTGAAAAATGAAATTTCCAGTTTCCAGATCTCGTGTATCATGGTGGAGGAGTTTGAGTGCCCTAATGATTTTAGGAGCTAAGTTGTCTGGGGCACTTTGTGCCATGAAGGGTCCGGTGCAGTGTGGATCGGGTGGCAAACCTAGGCGGGAGCCTTGGCGGTCCGATCCCCGGACAATGAAACTGGTTTTTGGGACATGGATTGTCACCTCGCTGGCGGGGAAGGAGCAGGAGCTTGTGGCAGAGGTTGAGCGGTACCGGCTAGATATAGTCGGACTCACCTCGACACATAGAATTGGCTCTGGAACCCAAGTCCTTGAGAGGGGTTGGACACTCTCCTTTGCTGGAGTTGCTCCGGGTGAGAGGCGGAGGGCTGGGTTTGGCTTTTTGTTAGCCCCAAGACTCTCTGCCTGTGTGTTGGGGTTTACCCCGGGGGGCGAGAGGGTAGCTTTCCTGCGCCATCTGGTCGGGGAACAGGTCCTGACTGATGTTTGTGCTTATGGGCCAAATATCAGTTCAGAGTATCCACCCTTTTTGGAGTCCCTGGGACGAGTGCTAGATAGTGCTCCATCAGGGGACTCCATTGTCCTGCTGGGGGACTTCAATGCTCACGTGGGTAATGACAGCTTGACCTGGAGGGGTGTGATTGGGAGGAACGGCCCACCTGATCTGAACTCGAGTGGTGTGTTGCTGTTGGACTTCTGTGCAAGCCACAATTTGGCCATAACGAACACCATGTTCAAACATAAGGATGCCCATCGGTACACTTGGTACCAGGGCAGCCTAGGTCGCAGGTCGATGATAGACTTTGTAGTCATATCATCTGACTTGCGGCTGTATGTTTTGGACACCCGCGTGAAGAGAGGAGCGGAGCTGTCAGCTGATAACCACCTGGTGGTGAGTTGGATCAGATGGCAGGGGAAGATGCCGCGTAGACCTGGCAGACCCAAACGCATAGTTAGTTTCTGCTGGGAACATCTGGCAGAAGAACCTGTCAAGACGGTCTTCAACTCCCACCTCCAGCAGAGCTTTGACCACATCCCGAGAGCAGTGGGGGACATTGACTCCGAGTGGGCCTTGTTCCACTCTGCGATTGTTGATGTGGTTGTTGCTAGCTGTGGTCACAAGGTGGCCGGTGCAGTTGTGGTGGCAACTCCCGTACCCGCTGATGGACACTAGAGGTTTGGGGAGCCGTGAGGCTGAAGAAGGAGGCCTACAGGGCGTGGCTGGTCTGTGGGTCTCCGGAGGCAGCAGACAGGTACTGGATAGCCAACGGGGTGCAGCAGTAGCAGTTGCCGAGGCAAAATCTCGGGCGTGGGAGGAGTTTGGTGAGGCCATGGAGAAAGACTATCGATTGGCTCCAAAGATGTTCTGGCAAACTGTCCGGTGCCTTAGGAGAGGAAGGCAGCAACTCGCTCACACTGTTTACAGTGGGGATGGGGAGCTGCTGACACCAACTGGGGCTATAGTCGGACGGTGGAAGGAATACTTTGAGGAGTTCCTCCATCCCACCTACGCGCATTCCGAGGAGGAACCAGAGCCGGGGGACCTGGGGATGGACTGTCCAATCTCGGGGGCAGAAGTTGCTGAGGTGGTCAAACAACTACACAGCGGCGGAGCTCCGGGGACGGATGAGATTCGTTCTGGGTATCTCAAGGCTATGGATGTTGTAGGGCTTTCGTGGTTGACACGTCTCTGCAACATTGCGTGGTCATCGGGGACAGTTCCTGTGGAGTGGCAGACTGGGGTGGTGGTTCCCATCTTTAAGAAGGGTGACCTGAGGGTGTGTTCCAACTATAGGGGGATCACTCGTACATTGAATGTTCATTTCTCCACCAAAAGCCATCTCAAAAGGCATTTCAGAGAATATGGTAGTACATCCAACCGGCCTCACAACCGCAGACGACGTGTAACCACACCAGCCCGGGACCTCCACATCCAGCAGGTTCACCTCCAAGATCGTCTGAGACCAGCCACTCAGACAGCTACTGAAACAATTGGTTTGCATAACCAAACAATTTCTGCACAAACTGTCAGAAACCGTCTCAGGGAAGCTCAACTGCATGCTCGTCGTCCTCATCGGGGTCTTGACCTGACTCCAGCTCGTCGCCGTAACAGACTTGAGTGGGCAAATGCTCACATTCGGTGGCGTCTGGCACGTTGGAGAGGTTTTCTCTTCACGGATGAATCTCGGATTACATTGTTCAGGGCAGATGGCAGACAGTGTGTGTGGCGTCGTGTGGGTGAGCGCTTTGCTGATGTCAATGTTGTGGATCGAGTGGCCATGGTGGTGGTGGGGTTATGGTATGGCCAGGCATCTGTTATGGACGAAGAACACAGGTGCATTGTGTTGATGGCATTTTGAATGCACAGAGATACCGTGATAAGATCCTGAGGCCCATTGTTGTGCCGTACATCCTTGAACATCACCTCATGTTTCAGCAAGATAATGCACGGCCCCATGTTGCAAGGATGTGTACACAATTCTTGGAAGCTGAAAATGTCCCAGTTCTTGCATGGCCAGCAAACTCACCGGATATGTCACCCGTTGAGCATGTTTGGGATGTGCTTGACCGGCGTATACGGTAGCGTGTACCAGTTCCTACTAATATCCAACAACTTTGCACAGCCACTGAAGAGGAGTGGACCAACATTCCACAGGCCACAATTGACAATGTGATAAACTCTATGCGAAGAAGAATTGTTGCACTGCATGAGGCAAATGGTGGTCACACCAGATACTGACCGATTCTGAGTCCCCAGACCCCGAATAAAGCAAAAAACTGCACATTCCAGGGTGGCCTTTTATTGTGGGCAGTATAAGGTACATCTGTGCACTACTCATGATGTCAGATCAGCATTTTGATGTGGCACACCTGTGAGGTGGGATGGATTATCTCAGCAAAGCACTGGTACTCATTATCACACATTTAGACTGATTTGTGAACATTGTTTGAGAGAAATGGTAATATTGTGTAATTGAAATGAATTTTAGATGTTTAAGTCCATCTCATGAAAAATCGGAGCAGAAACAAAGGTGTTGCGTTTATATTTTTGTTGAGTGTATAAATATATAGTTTGTACTCTATAGACATGAAGCAAGACATTCAAAAATTCAGGTTGCATATTTTCCAGTCTATACAAAATCTGATGATTTCAGAAACATACAAGTCAGCGTGTATATTTATATCAGTTATCGGCCATAAGAATAGTATTAATTTAGGATATCGGTATTGGCCCAAACATGTCATATCGGTGAATCCCTACCTCCATTTCTTCGCTATGACCTTCACATGCTCTGTCTCGCAATGTTAACAATCTCGCAATCAGGGTCCGAAATTAACACTCGCCACTCGCCAAATGCGAGCTAATTGCGCAATTTGGCGAGTAAATTTTTGAGCTCTACCTGCCACCTGGCGAGTAAATGTTTGCACCAAATTAGTTATGTTTATCAGTCATCTTCCATGGATTTCTGATACTCCTCCTGCCTGCATGCAACGTACACAAATGTACGCGAAACGTGAACGCCGCATCCAATGTCATTTCCGCCTATCCCATTCAATCAGTTTATCAAGTTAGCAGTTAGCTTCGTGTTAAAACTAGTGGTGAAATGTGGCGGTTTTTAACTGGAGTCAGCCAGCCTTCCAAAAGAAAACTCGTTGAACTGGAAGAAAAACCACCAGGACCAGTGGCAACCAGAAGATTTTGTGAAAAGTGGCGAACCGGAGATGGCGGAGTCGTGAGACAATGGCTACATTATGATGGCCACGTAGCGTTGCTCCCTTTCACAGACAACTGTCCCTCGGCATTCTTCAAATATCCAAAAAATGCCCATACTTCCGACTTTGTCTTCTTTGAGGGATAATAAATGTCCCGAGTGCTGCCGTCTCCTCCTGCCATTATTTCAGCTTTAGCTTAAAGAAAGTTTTGGTCGTAAACAACAAAGTGCGCATGTGCCGCCGGCAACTTCCAGATGATACGGTGGCTGGTAAGGGTCACCGCGCTTACACCGCAGCCACGGTAATCCACCGAGATAATATATATGTTTTTAAAACAAGACTGTTATTATTAATGTCAACTTTTTTACCGGGGTTTACCGCTACACCGGTTACCATGACAACCCTAGCCCTGACACACTTTCAGATATTCTCATGGTGCAGCTGTGTTCTCCAGAGATCAAGGACTATGACCCAAATGAGGCTGTAATGCTTTGGCACAAAGACTGTGTCAGAAGCAGGAGGCCAGACTTCATGGACAGAGAAAACAAGGAGTCTGACTAGATTTCAATGAGAGTTCATAAAAACATCTCTAAAAAAATAAATAGTAAAAATGACAAAAGAGTTGTTTTTCTTATTAATTGATGTTTTAATTATTTTGTCACTCTGTTTGGAATCAACATAATATAGAATTACGTGCTTTAGGTAGATCTAAATCATTTAGAATTTTGGCCGGTAAAAAATATGCTTGGTCGGTAGATTTTCATCATCTACCGGCCATCTTGGCCGGTGAGTAAAAAATTTAATTTCGGACCCTGCTCGCAATGTTAACAAAATCTGTCCATCTTTTACTGAAAATGGACATTCCTGATGAAACATGAATTTACCTGCATTCACTTAAAGGCCCAGTGTGAAAAAACATTCCATTTTCTTCGCCATGCAGTTCAGTTAGCATTTTTGCTACGGTGGCCCAGTAGCCGACACGCATTTAAAAGGCAATATATCAACAACCTCCAGCTTTCACATAGTGATCAGGTCTGTTCTTTATGAATAGCAAGAGCTTGATAATCATTTGCCAATTTCTCTAACCTAACCCACACAAAGCATTCAACTACTACAATCAAGCAATAAAAAACATTTTACTTATGACCGCTAACCCACTGAGATCACTGGCTGCTGGTTAGCCACCGGCTAAGGGAGGAGGGCTGGAGCGAGACGGCAGGCTGCAGGAGAAGAAGGAAGTTTGGGACTGATATGTTGGAACCAGCAGGTTTTGATAAATAAACCTAGGGCTGCTCGATTATGGCAAAAATAATAATCACGATTATGGTGACTGAAATTGAGATCACGATTATTTAGGACGATTTTTCAATTTATGTTGATTTTATTTGTTTTTATTCAGTCATAAATTGCTCAGGGCACAATCAGGACAAAAATAAGAAACAAGATGATCACTAAAAGAACTCCTGATTCCCAGTATAAAAAGACCAATATACTTATAGCTCATAGTTTATGACCCAAGAGTTTGGTTTAACTCATTTAAGTCTAACTAGTACAGACCCAAATAGCAATATCTTGCAAATACTGTCAGCAAGAATTATACAGTGGCATTTATAACAAATAAATGCAAATTAATTGATGTTCACAAAATGTTGCATAATACGTATTTAGTCGTGTCAAGGTGCTGTAGGAGTGCACTAACACTGTGTCCTCAGAGAGATTAGTTATTATTTATCAGCGTGAGGAACTTATTTCTACCTTATTTATAAACTATTTATTTACAAGTCCATCAGTTAATGTAATAATTGTCCCAACCACAGCTGCACCCCCCACCCCCCCAAACCGGTCTCACAGCAATCGGGGCAAGCTGCACGTGTGTTTAGCACGCCGCACGCGCACATTTAGCCATTTTTAGCGGCTCAGGAGTCCGCAGGTGCGGTGTGTGTGTGTCACTCACTCTGGTTAATCCAACAAGGAGCCGGCTCCGAGAGCTGTTTCTTTAGCGACTGACACATCACTACATCATTCCCTTTCCTAATGTCCTGAAGAACGGTCCGGAGCGCAGGCGGAGTGTTTAGCTAACCTGCAGGAAACGTCGACGACAGTTATCCAGAAAGTAGCTAAGGGTTACCAGAGATGTTTCTCAGGTGTTCGCTAGGTACTTTTAAGTTAAAAAGTCAAGAAGGGGGTCTGAAAAGCTGCTAGAAATAGCGTCACAGTCACTAAGTTGTCAACACTGTGGGAGGAGCGCTTCATTTGCAACTCAGGGCAGCGCAAGCGGGAGGAGCAAATAATCGGCTTGTTTTGTTTTTTATAATCGTTCAAAACTCAGATCGTAATCGTGATTAAAATTCGATTAATTGAGCAGCCCTAAATAAACCCATTATCTCACACCAGTAGGCTCCTACCCAACACCAGCTTCCTGATACCAAAGACAGGATGAAGCAGTTTGGATGATGGATGGATGAATGGAAGATTTCTACAAATGTGATGCCTTGTTGTAGAATGAAGATATTTTAGAAGGGAAAAGTAATGAAAACTATTATTTTATTATAAATGTGTTTTTCTTTTTGTATTAAATTTCCTGGTAAATGTGATCACAAACCCTCACTGGCCTTTACTAAAACGCAGACATGTGAGCGCCGTTTTAATGACAGAAGAAAGAGTGACCCAGATGCTGTTCTTGTTGCTGATAATAGACTCGTGTTTATTTTACAGACCGAGAGACTGAAAACAGTTTACTCAGATCCAGAGAATCGGATGCTTTTCTGTCCCTAAAGTGCTTTCAGAACTTGTATTTGAAAATATTTACAAGTTATTTTCTGCAAAATACAATTTAGTTGTTAAAAAGCAGCATGTTTGTAAGTACGGTTGGGACGCTTTAGAGTCCTCATGATTTCATTATGATTCAGAGGGTGGTGAATGAATTTTTAAATGATTCTCGACGCATCTCTCTTTCCCGTTCACCTCCTGTCGGACTGATTACTCGGTACTTTTTAGGCAAAGTATTGTAATGTCTAAAATTACTTTACTGTCAGTAACCTTTTCCAAATAAAAAAAAACACTTTGTTGTGCTGAAACATTGACATTTTAACAACACTACAACGTTTATCCTGAAAACCAAGAAACAAAATAATCATAATTTAAAATAATATTTGAATAGATAAATAATAGTTTACTCTTGGCAGCTTCATGGTGTTTACTCTAATCTACTCTTTAGCTTTACTTTGTTGCACTGCTGTGTTTTGGGGGTTGATTTGTGTGTTTTCATGCTCGTGTGTGTGTGTGTGTGTGTGTGTGTGTGTGTGTGTGTGTGTGTGTGTGTGTGTGTGTGTGTTTTTCAGGATTGTGCTGATCTGTGCCAAGAGGTCTCTGTGTGCTGCCTTCTCTGTTCTGCCGTATGGAGAGAGCTTCTACCTAAGGTGACGAACACATCCACTCACACACACGTTATGGTTTACCTCATGAAAAACTAGAGGTTATTCAGCAAAGTGATGGACTGCCACTAACGGAAGGAAGCTGAAAGATGTCATTTCCTGTGGTGAGACAAAGGAAAAGTAGCAGGGAGGCTTATAGAGGAAAGGAGAAGGAGTGGAGGAGGAAGAGCCGTTGGTAGAAAGCAGACTCAAGGGAGGTGATGGTTTCGTGAACAATTTCAAAGATAAGACACACACACACACATGCATGCACATACACAGGCCCAGCAGAAAAACATCAGATAAACTGTTATGTAAAATGTGCCCTAGTGTCTTTTTCTCAGCATGTCTGTCACCAGAGTGGACAGGTCAGATATCTTTAGCATCATTGGGTCACTCACACTGGCGGCAAACTTCCGAACAAAAGGAAATGCTCTGCTTCTCCGTCCAAACGAACAGAAAATAACCACTAGTTCACCCCTGAACACTTACACGCATAAATGTGGAAGTGATACTATCACACACACACACACACACACACACACACACACACACACACAGACACACACACACACACACACACACACACACACACACACACACACACACACACACACATGCCCACACAGTGTGGTTAACAAAGATAAAACATCTTGGCTTGTTTGTTGACACCCACAGAGGAAGTGAGCTCTAACATCTCATCATCAAGAAGACTCAGCTGTGTGGTTACGATGACCTTTCAGGGTTTGTTTAGATCTGCTCATTTGTGCTTTCAGGCACCAAAGTGCGAATTGCATACTTACATACCTTTTTTAGAAGAAGACACGATTTTTTTGTATAGTGCCCCTCGAGATAAAAATCACAGGAAGCTCCACAAGAACAACAAAAAAGCAATCAACCAAAGCCAGTCTGAACAGGTGAGTTTTAAAGGAGACCACTGAGTCCACTGATCTCAGGCTCAGGGGGAGAGAGGTCCAGAGTCTGGAGGCCACAGCAGCAAATAATCTGTCACCTTTGGTCTTTATGGTGCGCTGCACAACCAGTAGGCTTTGGTCTCTGGGCCCCTGGGACCTGCTGGGGGTGTAGGTACTGAGAAGATCACCTGAAGTTAACTGGCAGCTAGTGAAGCTGGAGGAGAAGCGGAAATAAATATAGTTTGTTTGTTTTTTCAGTTAAATTCCAGCGTACCAATAAGTAATGAAACATAATTTCACCACTGGTCTGAATATTGGTGATTAGAGCAGCTTTACTCTGCAGACAAACACAGAGCGAAGACTCTATATTTAATGTTAAAGTTGTTTTTGTGGTCTTGACATGTTTCTGAATCACCATCCATTCATCAACTCCCAACAGCAGTCCATGCTATCTGCTCACATTGTTGCTGATTTGTGTCAGAATACAAGATTTAAGATGAAAGTTGAATCTTCAATAGTTGGTGTTATCTGTATGGGTTTTTGTAAGCTAAAGTCTTCGTTGGTTCCTGTAACACGAAGCACTTCTCTGTGTCCAGTGACCCCACGTTAAACCATCCCAAGAGGAGACACTCCTCTGGAAACATTTCCACAACCCTGGAGATGCTACCAGGGCTTGAGGGGTTTCAGCTGGACTCCTACGGCAGGGTCGGTCTCTCCATCTTTTCCATTACCTTTCTGAACACTGACCTGGGTTCAGATTCTGTAAACTGATCTCCCTTCAATGTTCTCTTGCTTTGTCAGTCAGTGTCATATGCTCAGTTCCTGTACCCAACGAATGCCCTGGTGAGGCAGAAGCCTTGTTCAGCCAGTGAGCTGACGCTGCAGATCCCGATCTCAAGGAGCACACACAGCATGGCTGCCAGGAGCTACCCCCCTAGCCGGCTGAGCAGCACTGTGGGGCTGGACCTGGGTAAGAAACCCTGTCAAACAAACACATGCTCATAGACAATCTCTATGTGTATCAGTCGGAGAATCGGGGTAAAAGTATCATGAAAGAGAAACAAAAAATCATCACCGGTAGGTAGGGATGGGTACCTTTGACATTTGAATCGATTCGGTACTAATTCCCGGTACCTACGAGTCGATACCGGTACTTAACGGTACCAATTTTCGATACTTTTGAATGTTTATTATTTTAATTCTCTTTTATAATTAAATATATATTTTTCTCAATATATAACAATATTTGATAAATATCACGATAAATAACATACAACTGTTTGTATTTTAACATCGTCCTTGTAGTTTTATAAGCTGAAAATTAAACTGAAGCAAACATCTTTACTGTGATTTACTGTGTATCTTCATTCCTTTTGCCGTCCTTTTTCATTTGATTTTTCCTACTGGGAAGTTAGAATTTCCGAGGAGAAAGCGAACGCACCATTAGCTGATAACAACGGTGGCAATGGAAGCTAATATATCAAGCTAACGTTATCTTAACAGTTTATTTAGCTGCTGGAGCAGATTAAAACGATGATGCCTCACACTTAGATCGTTGTCACTGGTTTCATCTTCACCCAATCACCCGTCGCATTTAGTAAAGTGAAGCCAAACTTTAGAGCGCGTTCATGTTCTTCTAGTCGGAAATTCGGAGTTCCGAGGAGAAAGCGAACGCACCATTAGTGAAATGGAAGCTAACAAATCAAGCTAACGTTATCTTAAACATTTTATTTACCTACCGGAGCAGATTAAGATGAGGATGTCTCACTGAGATCGTTGTCGCTGGTTTCATCATCACCCAGTTACCCATCACATTTAGTGAAGCGGACCCAAGCTTTAGCGTTCGTTCTTTCTACCATGCTGCTCTGTTTACAACTGGCTCGCAGGAGTCAGGGACCGACGACATAACGCTCTTGCGCATGCGCAGCTGTCTTGGCAAGTTCTCGTTATGAAGGACGGGTACCGAAACGAGGCACCGTTTGAAATGACGTGAATCGGTGCTCGGTCGGTACCTTAAAAAGTACCGAATTCGGTACTCATCCCTACCGGTAGGGCTGCACGATATTAGGAAAACCTGCGATATCCGATAACACTGATTAATATTGCGATGACGATATTACTTGCGATAAATAAAATCTTAACTCAGGAACAAAAATAACCAAAAACAAAGAAATAGAAAAACTCATAAAAATGAGAAAAGCAAAAGATGTGAGGAAAGAGAAAAAGAACAAGAAAAGGCGATCAGTGGATCCCGAGAAAAGCAGAATCAGCAGAAAAAAGCTGCTAACCAGCAAAATTTGTGCTGTCCGTCTCGGGGGCGGGCCTCTAGCTTATGAGAACCCACCCAATTGGCCAAATGGGTGAAGATCTCTATTTGATTCGTTAAAGAAACATTATGCTTCTGTTTGACTGACAGAATGCATCATGTGTAGCAAACATTTAAGCTGAACATTCATTGCGATATTTATCTGTTCTTTGCGATATGCATATTGTGCATGCTGATATCGCGATAACGATGTTTTTACAATATATTGTGCAGCCCTAATCACCGGGGTCGGGTGGGTCATGTGTCTAAGATAAGGCTGTGGCTCTATAGTTAATTCAGCTCGAGCCCATAGATGTTTGCGGTGATTCCAGCTGCAGAGTTTTGTTTTGTTTTGTTTTATAAAAAAATGTTGAAGGTGGAGGAGCTGAAGGCGGCTTCAGAATCAAAATACAGAGAAAGGAGAAGGTCAACGCTGGAGGAAGTGAAAACAAACAAAGTATAGGATAAAAACATGAAACAGCCGTCTGGAACATCTGCCCTCCTATATTTTAAACACGTGTGCATCTCTTCACCCTGTGTGTCACATCCTTTATCTGTAAACCCACCACACACACACACACACACACACACACACACACACACACACACACACACACACACACACACACACACACGTCTATACATATGCTCCCCACTGAGACAGGGGCCACTATTAACTTCTGATCCAGAACCTTTCATTAACACAAGACAGGTGTGTGTGTGTGT